AAAAAAAAGATAAAAAGAAGGGATGTGATCTATAAATCGTAACGTGTGCAAATTCTCTTACAACTTTACAATATTGCAAAAAAAAGAAAAAAAAAATTGTACAGTAAGAAGAACAAGTAAGTATTGTCCAGTAGAATGCTATCTATCTTAAAATGTAAAAAAAAAAGATAAAAAGAAGGGATGTGATCTATAAATCGTAACGTGTCCCTTTCCGAACGCAATAAATTCACGCATGACACTATCTTTTACCCGCACTTCTAAAAGCAACGATGATATTTTAGACACCGAAGCGCGATCTTTATCAACGAAGCTGACAAGACGGAGAGGAGTTTTTCATTTTTTTTTCTTTTTTCTTTTTTTTTTTTCTATTCAAACAGCATGAAACATCTTGTGCTCGCGTATAATCTAAACAACGAATTATGTACATACCCCGGGTGTTTGCTCATTTTTACCTTCGTACGCCTCGTTTTTTCGATGAACGAGTCGCGTAAAAGTCACTGGGTCGCGCAGTGTATTCCGCTGTAACGTAGAAACGAAGCAAAATTGAAAAAAAAAAAAAAAAGAAAGGAAAAAAAGAATTTCTCTTTGGCCGTGCCATTCGACGACTGGTCGCAAACGTTTTCATCGCGTTTTACGTGGTGTCTACACGTTTCCTCGTTTCGTATAGCTGTGACGACGCGATGGTCAAAATTTATCAAAAGGTGGTAGAAAGAGCGACGATTAATCAGACTGCGAACATTTATGCGAGTTTTCATACTTTCAGCAGCTGGAAAAAAATGGCCCCGCGCGTCACCCACGCGGATGAAGTATCATCGATACGATACGATACGACACATTGTATTTCGAACGATTTCTAGCCCCTTTTCTTCGTGCGTTTTTTGCACACTGTTCGTGTGTGTGTGTGTGTGTGTGTGTGTGTGTGTGCGTGTGTGGCGAAATTCGACGCATAAAGATCCGCAGCCGAGCGAGAAAATAAAATGGTAGCGTGCCTCCCGTGACAGCCGTTCGGGAACGTGACCGAGCGTGTAGGTAAGGATAGAATGGATGGCGTAGAAAAATATAAAATATAGTTATAGATTTCGTGAAAACAGCGTAGGTAATTCAATTTTCGCTTCCGCGCTCGGATTCCACGCGCGTTGAATAACGGCGCTGAGACCTCGCTCTCGTACGTTTTTCGATTGATTATCATTACTTTCGGGTATACAGCTCGTCCATTTTACTCGGCAAACTTCCCCACAAAATACTTTCCCTCCTCTCTGTGCATACCATGCGGTATATATATTTACGGTGGATATACAATAATCCATCCATAGTGTTTCGAGCGTTGTTCATTGAATTGTCAAACCAGTGTTTGCGTGATCATCGTTTAGCGTAACTTGGAAAAATTGTCGTTCCGATTTGGCGCGACTGTGTGCAGTTGAATGAACTGTTTCTTTTCGTTCAACTTAACCAGTTTAAATTCAGTAAAACGCTTTATCGAGGGTAAGATGCATCGTGTTGGACACGAGGTTCTTTGTTTTTTTTTTTTTTTTTTTTTTTTTTTTTTTTTTTTTTTTTTTTTTTTTTTTTTTTTTTTTTTTTTTTTTACTTTTTTTTTTACTATTCCACGCGAGTTATTCTCGTTAGTTCGAATATTTCGCGCGTTGAAAATCGTTGAAAATCGATTCTCGAGAGACATATATGTACATGCATGTATATCTCGCACGCGGGCTTAAAAAATGCGTACGTTCGTTATGTACAAGAAAAAAACATGAGAACAAGTTAGAGAATATAGCTTCTTTACTTAGATGAGGGGGGCTGGTGGGGTGGGGGGCTTTGTCAGAGCGCGCACCCCCTTCGCGAGGGTGGGGGCAATCATCAATCATCGATCGTGTGTTGAACGCTGCGAGACACAAAAGAGTGGAGAAACCAAGAGTGTAACAACGTGTTTCCCTTTTTTTTTTTTCTTTTTCGGTTTTTTTTTTTTTCTGTTTTTCTTTTACTTCTTTGTAATATATAATGCACTTCGGGTTTGTTTCCTTAAGCTTTATAAAATTCTCGTTTTGTTCGTCTATGTCCATTGACTCTTTTCAATAAAGAAACTTGGTTTACTTCGATTGTCAATGCTGCACTTTCGATAATACGGAGGAGACGCTTCGTTTCGCATGATCCTTCAGTTTTCTTACTTTTTTTTTTTTCTTTTTTCGTTTTGCGGGGAGGGGGGAACGAAGCGAGAGAGATTTTCGCAAAGCAGGGACACACGGAGAACGTGAGGAGAGTTTACACGTTTGCCTCCACATGCGTGCGCTTCATTGCCAGTGTACTTGTTACCAACATCTCTGCGAAAATTATAATAATAATAATGATAATGATACGAATCGATCGTTCTCATCTCTTCTCTCTCTCTCTCTCTCTCTCTCTCTCTCTCTCTCTCTCTCTCTCTTTTGTCATTTTAAATAATCAGCGTATATCTCTTTCCAATGTATCGTTTCAAATGTACAATTAACGTGAATTAATTCAATTAATTTTCATTAATTTAATTAAATTAATTTAAATTATTCGAAATAATTTGTCGCCCTACGACTTTCGAAACGAAATGTTTCACTGGTGGTTCTTTTACGGCTTCATGTCCTTTGACATCTTTTTCTATTTTTCTCTGAAATTGATGTATTTCGATGATTATTTCCATTATATATGAATGAATTGTTATTTCTTCTCTTTTTTTTTTTTTCATCTCGTACTGTCGACGAGTGACAATCACATATTTAATTTAACAGATGTTGTAAGAGAGCGTGTAAGAGAGAGAGAAAGGGTGAAAAAAATCGCTCGTACTTTCTCCGATATATCGTGCCAACTTTCTTTCTTTCTTCCTTTTCTATTTTTTTCTCTTTAAATTGACTGAAATCGTGGTAAACGCATGATCGAAGCACGAATTGTAAAAACACGAAGGGGGAAACTTCGTCAGGTCGATTTTCACTTTTAGGAAGAGGCAATGATATGTACTTAGCCTACTGTATATGTAACAATGTATATGTATATATATACGTATATATCTGTATATACGGATAACGCGAGCGACTTCTCTGTTTTTTTCTTTTTTCTTTTTTTGGTTTCACATCGATCTGCACGAATTGCAAACGTTAGAGTTGCACACCTGTTTAGTTCCTCGCTTACGCGAACCTTCCGAGCAAATTCTTAACGAAACGGCGTTTTTCCTTTTTTTTTTCTTTTCTTTTTTAATTTCGCGACTTGTTATAAATTCGTAGAATATCGCGTACCTTGTTGAACGAACCTGAAGTTCGTTTCTCTGTCGTAAGGAAAAGCGTGAAAAACAGGCGAGAAACAAGGAAATCGAAACGATATGGAAAAAGAAACTCGTACTCTTTGTTGTTCGAATTGTTTCCTGCCTTCTAGTTTCGTACGCAACCGAGAGAAACCTAACTCAAAATGAAAATCATCCACTCGACCTTATTTCGAGCGGAAGATTTCGCGTAAAAGTTATCGTTCCGTTTTTTTTTATCCTTATCGAGCTACAATTAGGCTTGAAGTCGAAGATCGTTGCGAAACTGGAGGGATGCATGAAAGAACATGCAACCAGGATTAAGTTGAAAATGCACAAGCAAAAAATGCAAAAACGCGTAATTCTTTTTATGGAAATCGCTTCTATTGCAAACAATTATTATTTAATAATACCTATTATAATATAATTATTTAACAATTATACCTATTATAATATTATTATTTAATAATTATAATAATATAATTATTATTTAATATATAATAATATTATTATTTAATAATAATACCTAGTATAGTATTATTATTTAATAATAATATCCAATAACTTGATAGCTATTTGCGTTTTATTGCAAACAATTATTAAAAAGAGGATTGTTCACATTTTGCTGCAAACAATTATTAAAAGAAAATAATTGCCTGACTTTCGTTGCATTTTTATTGCAAACAATTATTTAAAAAAAAAATAGAAAGAAGAGTAGAAATTTCTTAGAGCTGGTCACTTTGCTTCCGTGTTTCCTTATCACAAAAAAAAAAAAAAAAAAAGGATGAAAAATTACAAACTCCGTTTTTCTTTCTTTCTCTTCTTTTCTTTTCTGATCAACCGATTAATGTATTTATTAGACGTGTCGCTCTGATCTGAAGTTATTACGCGAGTAAATTTAGACGTTCTCTTTTTATTCCTTTAACACGGGGGTTTCCTTAATCTCTCTCTCTCTTTCTCTCTCTCTGTTAAACTATGGATTTTGTCAATGTACTCCGTTTGCTAACATAATTTTAAGGAGCGTATCAACACAGTAACATCAAGTGCTCTTTGCAGACTCATGTCAATACATTGCTAAACTCTTCGTATATTCAATCCCGAATGTATTTCGAAAGTAATTTCTTCGTCTCGACGTTTACTTTCTCGCCAAATAAACTCGCTTCTGTTTACGTTCCGTATTGTCCAATTAACAATCTGCACTCTACATAATCGCTACGAATGAATCGAAAATATACCTAACACGTAGCATTTAGGCTGGTACAATATATATATATATATATATATACCAGTGAAAAAAATCATTCGAAATGCAGAGTGTGTTTGGTAACAAGGATGATATCGCGTCATAAAGAGAGAGAGAGAAAAACATTTCTTTCTTTCATTTCGATGGAAAAGAAAAAAACGCTCGAGGTTTGGATGATCCTGTCGAATAAAACGCTTCGTAGTGTTTCGTAATGCACGATCGTTTCTGAAAGAGTGTTCTCCCTATTGCCAGACACTCTGGTACGGATGAAATCGAGCGGACGTGTTTCAATGAACACGTTTAATCGACGAACTATCGACGCACAACTATTCGGAGAACATGTGGGGAAAAAAAACGTGAAAAACTTTTTTTCCTTTTTTCTCGAAGTGTAACCGCGCAACATAAAACTGCGAACTCCCCGAATTTGAAGATAACCCGCCACGGATAATTTCCCGGTACTCTCCCTTGCAATTCGTTGTGCTACCATCACTCGCGAAAACGTCCTGGAGCGCTTTGTCGTCGTTGTTCGAAAACTTGAACGTCTGAGAGGGGGAGGGGGGGCTTCGTGCGTTCAAAGATGACCCCGAATCGTCAAAAAGTTACGTCCACGTTCGTAAATCGACGTTCAACCTCGGAACCGTCGATCCTAAATTTGTGCGCCTGTTTCGCGTCAAGCTCGAACGCAATCTCGCGAAAAGAGATCTCCCCTTTCTCTGCGATCACGTCTCATAAGACAATGAAAGACCCTGCAACTCTGATTAATGTTGTCCTCTTCGCAGTTTTTCTTTCTTTCTTTCTTTTTCTTTCTGTCGTGAACAGAATGTACGTGAATTTGCATTACTCGTCGTCCTGGATACTTTCCAAGGTAAGTACGTTAGTTCCTTCGCGCGTAAATTCAAACTCGTGGAGGGGGAGGGGGAGGGGGCGCCTCTGTTGTGTTCTTGCCGCGGTCCGCGGCACTTAAATCCGATTACGGATCACCCCGGGGAAAACGTAATCCCCGTCGGCGAGTTTCTCTTCTCGGGAGATTACTCGAAATTCACGGTAACGCGAGTCCAGACACGAAATCAGAACGTGCGCTCTCCTTTCTCGGCGATTGTCTGCGTTCTTGCCAATTTTACCCCCGGAGGATGTCACCGTGAACAGATCTTTATCGTCGTGAATCGTTAAACGTGTCCGTGTGTATCTGTGCGTGTGTATATAATATATAAATATATATATTTATATATTTATATATATTATGCATGCACGCGCACGATGATACGCGCACCTGGCGCGTGTACGTACAACTCTAGACAACAACAAACTCCACGACTCGTATGAAAGACAAAGATGTACAACACCGAGATGAATTGCTTTCATCGGGTGTGTTGCTCGGTCGGTTGGTATTTATTTCTTTCTTTCTTTCTCTGCTTTTTTTTCTTTTTTCTCTCTCTACGAATGTTTCTCGACGATATAGCGTATTGTTAACGATAGTCGGTCATCCCGGACACGGGAATTAAGGGGCCAGCATTTTTGAAAGCTCCTCGTCCTGAAGGCAACCTTTCAAAAACTCCTCCTCGGTTAGTTGACCGTCATTATTCTCGTCCATTCTTGCAAATATGTTCTTCGCTCTCTCTTCCGCGCTGTCCGCCGGCCGGTTGCTCGAGCACGCGCCGAGCATGTCGTATATCGCCTACAAATATACAAAATACAAAATCTTTTTTTTTTTCTCCTCTATCTCTCTTCCCTTCTTTCGTTCTCGTCGATTCTCTCGATTTTCTCGTCGATCGCGAGGAAAGTCGCCACGTGTTCGTTCAGACAACACACAAAATATCTTCTTTCTTTTCTTTTTACTGATCTTGTATCAACTTTCACTGACTACGAAAGACAATTTAGTGTTGCGAAATATTATCTTTCTCTATCTAATTTTTATCGATTACGACGGAGATAATTCGCGCCCGGTCAGATCAAATACAAAATGCTCTCTTTCTATCAAAATTCTGTCAATTTTCAACAATGAAGATAATTTGTTGCTGCAGATTTAAATAAAATGTAAAGTATTCTTTCTCCAATTCTGAAAATAATTTTGTTCGTCACATGCTCGTTCAGATAAAGCACAAAGTGTACTTTTTTCTACTAATTCTGTTAATTTTCACCAACTACAAACAGATAATTCGTCGCTTTAAAAAATATTTTTTCTACTATTTTTGTTGCTTTAAAAAATACTTTTTCTACTATCAATTTTATCAATTTTTATCAATTACGAGGATGATTTAACGCCTTTCTGTGCTTGTTCAGATAAAATAACTTTTTTTACTAATTCTGACAATTTTCACCGATTACGAAATTAATAATTTGTTGCTGTCGCGTGACATGCTCGTTTAGATAAGATACCAAATATTTTTCTTCTGATCAATTTCCTCAATTTGTTCCCTCCCATCCCTTTCCCCGCTGCGACGCGATCGTTTGGATAAAATACGAAACAGAAACACGATGTTTTCAAAATTCGCTTCAGCTCGTTCCGATAAAATACAAACTACAATTTTCTTCTGTTAATTTTTTCTGTTAATCTTTTCTTACTAAAAAGTGTCTGACACGTCGTGTACATTTCATCTTCGATCGGAGTGTATTTCGTTGGAGCGTTTCGCAGTTTTCAAATCGAACGCGATATTGCTACTTTGTCGAAATGCCACGAATACGGAAACCGGCGTTCTCAAGTTCGAATGAAATACCAGCGGTGCCTCGTATTACATTTTCAGGAAAGAAATCTGCCGACGTCGACGTGAAAGAGCAACCAACCCCGGCGCGAAGTGACGCGGCCCCTTTTATGCCGCGTCTTATCTACAAGCTATAAACGCTCGCTATCCTTACGAAATAAAAAAGGAAAAAAAAAGGGGGAGAAAAAGCCGTGGAAGCAGCTCGAGAACGTCTGCCAGAACGAGAACCCGTCCCTCGAGTGACATTAAAGCTTGTGGAACACGTAATACCTGAACGATCTTAGTCATTTCTTGAATATCAATGACGCCGTTCCCATCAACGTCATACATACGGAAGGCCCACTTCAGCTTTTCCTCCGGCGTACCGCTAGACGTTACATCGATGGCCAACAGAAACTCCTGCAACGTGAAAATTAATTGCTCGCTGTAATGAAGAAAACCGGCGACGCCCCCATGATTTATAATACGTGATATAATGTATAATGTGATATGTAATATAATATGTAATGTAACATGTAATATAACATATAATCTAACATGCAATGTAATATAATATGTAATGTAATATAGTATGTACTGTAATATATAATGTAATAAATATGTAGTGTAATATGTAATGTAATATGCAATATAATATGTAATGTAATATGCAATGTAATATGCAATATAATATGTAATGTAATATGTAATATATAATACAATATATAATATTATATTATTATATAATATAATATAATATTATATTATATTATGTTATTCATTAATGAATGATCACTAATATAAAAATACATACGTATTCCTGACATTACGAGATTGTCTCTCAAACCCCTCGCTTATATTTATATTATATTTAATATTAAATATTAAACATATCTAATATTTGTAAAGAACTTTATAATTAAAATATTTATTAATATTCGCAAATAATTACTAATATTTAGTATCAGAGTTTTTAATATTTATGATGAAAATGAGGTACGGATCTTGAATATACAGGATGATTCACGTAACCTGCACACCTGAAATAACTATTAAATTATGCGTCTAATGAAAAACTGTTTGATACAAAAGTTGTATTGTAAAATATGGCGTATCGATTTTTTATTACGTGTTGCGAAATTTTCAAAGTCAGCTTTATTTCTTTTTAGTTTGACCATATATTTTCTTCATCATAAATCAAACGAATATATGTGTGTGTGTGTATCTGTTCTTTGAACTCAATTTTTTTTAATTTTTCCCGGATCAAAGTAAATTTGTTATCGCATCAACATCACTGGTAATTTTATTACTGGCCGATACTGTAGCTACACAGGAATATAGACTCGAATATAGCGTCTGTCCGAATTTCCACGAAGTTCTGGGAAACATCCTTGACCTCTCGCGTAGCATAGAGCGTTACGTAGCAAAGTGTGATAAATTGCACATATATATACATATTTTTCTGAGGTCCAAAAGGAAGAAGCGCCCTCAAAGCGAGATTAGTTTAAAAGAACCCTCAATTCGACGTTTCTGGTTCATTGAACATTTGCTTCGTAACCACGTGATTGAAATTTCAACTCGCGCGCAGACCATGATCGACGATGATTTATATGCATACATATTTCTTGATAGACGATTTAAGGCGACGAAAACGACCTTTGGAAAGTTTGAGAGCCTCTTCGACGGTGTCTCTTTGAGAAATAGTCCACGATGTTCACAAAGGAGGATTTTTCTTTTTTTCTTTCTTTCTTTCTTTCTTCTTTTTTTTTTTTTTTTCAAAGAAAGAATATAATATTAAGAATGTACACGCTAATCTTTGGATACCTCGGCGCTTTTACGTCCCTTAGGTTCGTCAAGAATTTCGAGTATCGTCGTTGAAGGTATAGCAGGAGTTGAACTAGGTCATCTGACGCCTGAGGTAGACAAACGGCGAGGGTTTTTAAAGAACGAAGTCGAGGGTGAGTCGGCTCTTTGCTCTTCCTGACCTCCGAAGTGTCTCTACTTCTCGTATTGACCCCATCGACGTGCTAGCCCCCCTCCGGCAAATTTCTGCCATCGACTAACTCTGTATCATACACACAAACACACACACACACACATATATGTTATCACTGTCGTAGCCTCTACCCAGAGGCCCTTCTCTATTTGCAGATGCATTTGCTACAGATTGTTGATACGTTATTTCACAACCATTTCTGTTATGATACAGCAAGATATAGACATTTTTCTCTCAGATCAACCCATTGGAATTTATTATTATTCATTACAATAATTATTTATCGCACGTAAAGCCTTCTCAATTTATTATTATTCTTCATTTGGAACTGTATTACTATTATTATTCACCAGAGGTTTTCTTAATTTATTATTATTCATCAAGAAGCATTCTCAATTTATTATTATTCATTAAGAAGCATTCTCAATTTATTATTATTCTTCATTTGGAATTCTTTAGCATTCATTATAATAATCATTTATTACAAAATAAAGCTTTTTCAATTTATTATTATTCCTCACTTGGAATTTATTATCATTCATTATAATAATCATTTATTACAAAGTAAAGCTTTCTCAATTTATTATTATTCCTCACTTGGAATTTATTATCATTCATTATAATAATCATTTATTACAAAGTAAAACTTTCTCAATTTATTATTACTCACCAAGAAGCTTTCTCAATTTACTATTATTCTTCATTTGGAATTCATTAGTATTTATTATAACAATCATTTGTTACAAAGTAAAGCTTTCTTAATTTATTCCTCACTTGGAATTTATTATCATTCATTATAATAATCATTTATTACAAAGTAAAGCTTTCTTAATTTATTATGATTTACCAAGAAGCTTTCTTAATTTATCATTATTCTTCATTTGGAATTCATTATCGTTCATTAGAATAATCATTTATTACAAAGTAAAACTTTCTCAATTTATTATTACTCACCAAGAAGCTTTTTCAATTTACTATTATTCTTCATTTGGAATTCATTAGCATTCATTATAATAATCATTTATTACAAAGTAAAGCTTTCTTAATTTATTATTATTTCTCACTTGAAATTTATTATCATTCATTATAATAATCATTTATTACAAAGTAAAGCTTTCTTAATTTATTATGATTTACCAAGAACCTTTCTTAATTTATTATTACTTTTCATTTGGAATTTATTGTCATTCATTAGAATAATCATTTATTACAAAGTGAAGCTTTCTCAATTTATTATTATTCATCATTTGGAATTTATTATTGTTCAGTGTAATGATTATTCGTTGCACGTAAAGCTTTCTAATTCATTATTATTGGCCAAGAAGCTTTCTTCATTTATTACCATTCATTTGGAATCTTAGACTACGAGAAGATTTATATTTTCCACTTCGATAATGCAGCGTGGAGTTAAACGTTTCCTGCCTTGATGTTCGTCATTATCGTTTTTCCTTCCTTTTTTTTTTTTGTTTCCAGCGCGTTTAGATATCGACAGGCAAGCCATACCTATCTATATATACATCACGTGGACGAACGTTCTGCGGTGTGGCATTTCGCAGATGTAGAGAACATCGTCGTTGTCTCGCGCTGCATAGTAAGGGGACTGTCAACGTCACATGTTCGCGGTTACGTCCACGATTGTCCCTGGGCGCAATGTAGAGCCAGAGCCTAGTTCCATCTAAACGATCCAGGGATTGTAAGAGCCTCGTATTACGCTTCTATTACACCTTCTAAAGCAGCCTTGCACTATTTGTTTCTTTCTCTCCTTTCTTCTTCTTCTTCTTCTTTTTTTTTTT